CCGGGGACAGAGAGCCCCACGGGGACAGAGAGTTACCAAGGGGAGAGCCCCCCCCGGACACCCACACACCGCGGAGGGCGGCGAGAACCCCCAGAGCCCCGGGCAGTCCCTGCAGCCCCGAGCCTTCCAGCCAACCGCCGGCGAGGGCTTCAGGGACCCACCGGGATGTGGTGGGGCGAGAGGAGGCACAAGCTCGCCCCTGCGCAGACAGGCCCATGTGCTGCACAAACACAGAGCCTGCGGACAGGACAGACAGACACACACACACAGTCTGCACAGAGACACAGCCTGCAGCCCGAGGCAGGACAGTTTTATTCCCCCACGGCCCCTCAGCTGGCTGTAACTGTCTCCTTCACCCAGGCCAAGACACGCTGCACGTCAACGTACACACCGTACTTGGCGGCCGTGCAGGTCTTGTCATAGCTGAGGATGCCAGCTGCGTACCAGGTGCCATCATCAGGGTCCTGCACAGCAAAGGCCCCACCAGCATCCCCATAGCAGGTGTCCTCCCGCAGCTCACTCATGCCCACACAGAAGGTATCGTTGCTGAGGATGGGCTGCACCCAGTAGGATGCATTCCGTGCCCCATAGTACTCCTGGCACTGCTTGTCCTCAGCCACTGGGAGCATCACGTACTTCAGCATGTCAGAGAAGGCGAAGGTGGCACCACGGCCCCAGCCTGAGACATAGCCCACCCGCCCTGGCTGCACGTAGTCTTTCTGGGGCAGGCAGATGGGCATCACTTCCTCTCCAACAAGCACCTTCTGTTTGAGCTTCAGCAGGGCCAGGTCCACAGCGTGTGGGTAGCCGGGGTGCAGCACGATGTGCTCGATGCCCAAGGCAGGCTGCTCCCGGCTGCCCAGGAACAGCTGCAGCGTAGGGGCGATCTCCTCTGGATTGGTGTTCTCGCTGTGGTTCAGGTACACGTTCCTACCAGTGGTTAGCAGCCACTGATCACTGATAAGTGTGGCCCCCACAGTGAGGTTGTGGCGGGTCACCATCCGGGCCTGCCAAGGGAAGCTGCCCTTCTGAGCCAGCAGACCCCCAATGATGCGCTGCATCTGCCTGGGGGGGTTCTTCGGCTTCCCACACACTGCACAGGACAGAGCAGGGCCCAGGTTGAGCCCTCTCAGCCCAGTGGTGCTCAGCAGCCCCAGGGAGCAGCCCCTACAGCCCTTTGGCTGCACAGACTGCTCACGGCCCCACAGCTGCCCTGCTTTTCACAGCCCCAGCCCCTGTGACTCTGCTCTCACCTGGCTCGCAGACAGGCACCTCCTTACCAGCTTCAGGACTCACCCACACCTGATTCCCATCACATTTGTATGTCCCTTTGGAGAGAAACCAGAGTCAACATCCTTGCCCTGCAGCCAGGGAGGCACAGAGGTGCTTATACCTCCCTGGGGCTTGGGTGAGCAGATGTAGCTACTCATACCCCCGAGGAAGTGGGGTAGGGGGCTGCATCCCTGGCATTGGGGCAGCCCCTTGCATCCCCTGGAGCTGGGGATGTGCCTCACCATCATCGGAGCCGCGCAGCTGGTAGTATGGGTCGCAGCGGTACCTGACCACCAGGTGCTCCACGTGGCCGTGTTCAATCTCCGCAGGCTTTGCACAGCTCCGCTCTGCAGGCAGACAATGCTCAGCTGGCCCAGAGCACCGAGCCCAGGACATGCTCCCACCTCCATTGGGTCCCTCCCTAGTTCCATCTTCCCTGACCCTGCCTGCTCCCTGCCAAGTCCCCTCCCCTTCGTCTGAACCCCAGTGCTCCCTGCCTGCCCTGGAAGGTACCGGTGGCAGCTGCAGTCCCCAGCACGCTCCAGGCCAGGCCAGCGATCAGCAGCTCTGCAGGTCTGCAGGGAGAAGAGGGCAGCATCAGCAGAGAGCTCCCAGAAAGCTCCCCTGCTCCCAGCTGTGGGCTCCACCAGGACCCTGTTTGGGCTCCTGTCCTGTCCCAGGAGGGCCCTCGGGGCTGCCCATCAGACAGCCAGGAGCCAGACCTGGACCCTGCTGCTGCAGAGGGCAAGGCTGCAGTGTTGGGACCTGGGGTGCTTCCAGGCCCAATATGGGTTCTGCCATGGCCCTCAGCAGGGCCAGGTCCTCAGCCAGGCCCTCAGCCAGGCAAGCAGGACAGACAGAGCACCGAGCACATGGAGGGACACGTCAGTGTTGCTTACCCCATGCTCGCAGCTCCCTGCTCACAGCAGCCTCCTCCTGCAGGTCACTGCTGCTCGGGGCTCCCTCCTCACCCCTTTTATTGTCACCTCCCTCCCCCTGGTGCAGCCCAAGAGCTCCAGACCTCCTGACCCTGCTGCCTGCAGCCAGCACCTTTCCCAGCAGGAGGAGCACAAAAAGCCCCACCTGGCCCTGTGCCGGCTTGGCAGAGGCTCTCGGGAAGCTGCCAAGCCCCCACAGGAAGCCAATGTGCCAAGAGTTTCCCGGATTTTGTAGATACAAATATGGGGGGGGTCTGGCTGCAGACTAGTGCCCTGGCACTGTGACACCAGCTGAGGCTCACAGAGAGCAGACCAGCCCCTGCCCTTGGCAAACCTGCCCTGTGCCCACACCTACCACAGTCCCTGCAGGGCACAGGTGACCGCCCCAGTGCTGGCAGGAGAAGCTGGGTCCCAGGAGCCAGGTCCCATCCCATCCTGTGCCTGGCTTTGCTCACAGTCAGGGCACACCCACCCAGAGCTGGGGTACCAGTGCCCTGGGCAGTGCCACCCTGCTGGCCAAGGGGAGCAGCATGTCCCACACTAGGGACAGGTTCTGAGGGACTGCAGCCAATCCGGCTTCCAACCAGTACCCACCCCTTCCCACGCAGTGGGGCCACAGCCCAGTGTCCTGGCAGCCCCTGGCCTCAGGGGTGCAGGTTGTTTGTCAGCAGCATCGAGGGCTCAACCCAGGCTTACGGGAACTCACAGCAGCAACTGCTGGCCAGTGCCCAGCTGGATGTGGCTGGGCAGCAGGGGTGCAGGGCAGAGCACATCAGCCTATTCCCACGAGCAGTCTGCCTCCAGCAGGAGTACAGCTGAGGGGCAGCAGGAGAGGAGGGAGCCAGTGCTGCAGGGAAGCCACCCCAAAACCATTCATAGCATGTGGTGCTAGCCCCAGCCCTGAGCCATTGAAGCTTGGCCTGCCAGGGTCTTGCCAGTACCCTCCTGCCCCTTGGATGCTCCAGCTCTTCAGGCTCAGGAGGGACATCTGTGGCTGGTCCCAGACACCCCAGGTGGCTTTCCCATCCTCTGTGAGTTTCTTCCCATCTCATGGGGCATTTGTGTCCCCAAACAATGCAGAGCTTGACATCCCTGATCCAGCAGCAGCCATACTTGTACCACCACACAGAAGGCTTGAGTCCAGCACCAAATGCATCAGGGCTTGGCAGCTCTGATCTGTGAACAGCACCAGTACCTTAGGAAGGTGCTGTGTCACCCTCAGCCTGAAAGAGCAAGAGTCTCCCAGGCACTCTCCAAAGCACATCAACACCTTGGCTGACAGATCAGGTGAATTCCCTGTTAGAGCAGCAATAGGTGTCACCTGCCCACAGCAGAGAATCTGGGACATGAAGAGGCTGGTGCAGGGGGCTGCAGAAGGGGGAGGCAGGTGGGTGATGAACCTGACATGAGCTGAGTGCCACTCAGAGCAGGGGCAGGAGTTGTAAACAACTTTGGGGAAGTGCTGTGGCGCAATCCTGCTCTGCAGGGTGGACTGCGAAAGGCTGCCAAAGGAAATGCTGTGTCCAGGGCAAGCTCTTGTTCAAGCAAAGCCCAAGGTAATTGCAGGAAGTTCAGGGCGAAGGAACAGTCAGTGCTGGAGGCTCCAGAAACAAAACCAACAGGCAGAAGCACTACCAATCAGACCTTTTCCACAACAGTAACAGGGCATAACTGCAGCCATCTCCAAACAGCTGTGTACTGGCAGCAAAGAGAAGAACTGGCACCCAGCAACCCCAAGTGCCTGGCCTCGGGCAGAGATCTCTATGAGGGGAGCCCTGGTGCACTTCTGTCGGTTCATCCCAGAGCTCAGCTACCCTGCAGCTTCTCCCACCAGAAAAGTGGGAGCAACATAGAGAGCCGATCCTGCTTGGCTCAGGAGATCTGGGCTGTGTCCCTCCAGCCCACGAGGTATCCCCAGAGCAGCATACACGACTAGGTGAGCCAAATGTTTATTGACACTTGGGCTGGGTTCAGCTGCCCACAGGAAAACCAAAACACAGCCCTGGGCAGTGGCACTGGTGTGGAGGTCCCCTCCCCTGCTCCCCACTAATGCAGTCCCTGCTTCACCCATCAGAGGCTCTTCTCAGGGCCTGGGACCAAGACCTTGGCTTGGTCCCAGCCTGCCCAGCACTGGAATTATCAGACTGCTCAGTCATGGCTCCTCCTGGCTAGACCTTGGTTCTGCAGCATGTCAGCACCGGTGATCTGCTCCAACCGCCTCCATGACGTTCTTGAAGCCCTGCTCCCTAACCAGGGACAGTGCGAGATGGCAGGGCCAGCCTGGCACTGCAGCTCACCCTGGTGGTGCACTGCTTGGGCACCAGCAAAAAGTTGTTCAGAGCCACCCTGGGCCCAGGGGCTCCCTGGGGAGGTGCCTGGAGCCCCCTCACCTCAGCAGCTCCTCCAGTTCCCGCTTCACTGCCCCCACCACCGGTGGCCCGTGGTACACAAGGGCTGTGTACAGCTGCACAAGGGAGGCTCCAGCACGGATCTTCTCCAGGGCATCCCGCCCGCTGCTCACCCCACCCACCCCGATGATGGGCACCCGGCCTGTGGGCAGGCACAGGGTCAGGAAGGCACAGGCAATGAGGGCATGCACCCCCCAAGCCCTGCTCTGCTCCCACCTTGGGTGAGGCAGTACATCTCCCTGATGGTCTGTGTGGAGAGCTCCCGCAGGGGCTTCCCGCTGAGGCCCCCGGGCTCCATGCGCTGCCTGCTCCGGAGGCTGCTGGGGCGGCTCACGGTGGTGTTGCTGACAATCAGCCCATCCACACCTAGCTGAGGGGGTCAGCAGCGTGAGGACACAGCAGCAACAAGCAGCTCCCCCCCATCCCATCCCATCCCATCCCATTCCTGGTCAGGTCAGGGCTCCCCCAGCACATAACCCCAGAAACATGCCTGGGCACAAAGCAGCTGCCCCTCACTGCCTGGACTATCTGGGTCACCCAAGGTCTGGTTGACACACATAGGTCCTCACAGACTCCAAGCTACCCAGGATACCACCCCTATGGCAGCCAGGGAGCTGCAGGTGCACCTATCTTTCAGAGAGGAGACCTGTCAGGAGTGCCATGGTCCTACCCCCGTGCTGTGCGAGGTGAGGCAGGAGGCACACCAGCCTCCCCTTCCCATCTCACCTCACAGATAACGCTGGCAATGTCGCGCTTGTCCTGTGCAGTGAGATCAGGGGCGATCTTCACCAGCACGGCTGGCTTGTGCTCGCAGGGCAGCAGGTCCCTCTCCGCCAGCACCTGCGGGTGCACATGGCAGTGCATGGCAGGGAGAAACCTGACCAGGAGCCACGGGCGCCAACCAGCACAGGGACAGGCCCTGCTCCTCTACATGGCATTCTTGAGAGAGGCACCCTCAGTACAGGGCCTAGGGCACACAGCCAGCACAGGACCCCGAGGACACCCAAAGCCGTGGGGTGGGTGACTTGCTGCCTCTGGCAGGAACAGAGTGGATGGTGATACCTCACTGCTCCCGAGCCCTTTGCTGGGGTACAGTGCCCTGGTGCACCCCACGGCAGCAGCTGATCAGGGGACATCTCAGCAATCCTGCCCGCCACTCCTGGGAGCCGCCCCACTTATCCCTGCACCAGGGCAAACCCACTGGCTGGAGTGGAGCAGACACTGCCAGGGCACATGATGCATCCAGTGCTGCAGCTGCAGGTTGGGCTGGCTAGGGGAAGTGACCCACCTTTCTCAGCAGGTCCTGCAGCTCAGTCTTGCCCTGCAGGTCCCGCAGCCCTGGGGTGTTCGGGCTGGACACGTTCACAACCAGGTAGTCAGCCAAAGGGCCCAGTGTCCGGACCCCAGCCACGTAGTCAGCTGCAGCGTCTGTGGAGCTCTTGTTCTTGCCCAGGTTGATTCCAAGGGGCATCCCCGCTGGAACATAGACATGGCTAAACTAGGGCAGGACCAACCCCCACCCAAGGGCCAGAGCACCAAAAAGGGAGGCTCTAGGACCAGCTAAAATCAAGATGGGGATATGCAGCCCATGTATTTCATGGGAATGGGCATGGCACTGTCCCACAGCCACAGGATCATCGCCACAGCTGCCCCACTCAGCACCTCCCAGCACCACAGCCTGGCAGAGGTTGCTGTCAGGATCTGCCCAGCTGGGGTCCTCTTAGCTTTGGCTTTAACATGTTCTGCCTAAAGCAGTATGTGCAGCTCGGTCCCAAAGAAAATGGCAGGAGAAAGGTGACTAATCACAATCCCAAGGGGAGAGACTACAGCCCCAAGAGGGTCCTGCTGTTTTCTGGCCTACAGCTACCTGGGAGACCCTCAAACCCACCCTGCAGACCCCAAGGGCAAAGTCTTACAAGCTTGTCTCACCACCAGTGAGCCTGGTCTGCGTCTCCTGGCGGGCCCGCAGCCTATGCTCCACTGCAACGTGGCCATGGCTGTTGAATCCATACCTGCACCAGGACAGACGGTTCAGGGCTGGGCTAGTGTCCACAAACCCCAAACAGAACACGGGAGAAAAAAGGCAGACGTGTAGTTTCTGCAGCTCTGCTCAGCACATCCAACCCAAAAGCCACCACAGCACCGACCACGGAGCTGGGACCACCCAAATAACCCTGCACTGCCACGTGCACCCGCAAGTGCTGGCACAGAGGGACTTGCTGCCCTGTGAGTGCAAGCCAGACATGGGGTGAAAATCACCCTTGACCTTCCCCAAATAACCACCCCCGAGGTGGGCAGACTGCAGGACACGGCTGAACACTGCCCTCAGATCCCACCTGTTGATGACCGCCTCGTCCTCTGCCAGCCGGAAGACCCTGGGCTTGGGGTTCCCTTCCTGGGGCTTGGGTGTGACGGTCCCCACTTCCACAAAGCCAAAGCCCATCTTGTACAGGCCGTCCACAGCCTCACCCTGCTTGTCAAAGCCAGCGGCCAGGCCCAGGGGGTTGCGGAATCGCTGCCCGAGGACTCGCACCTCCTGCGGGGACAGGTCTGGGTCAGAGCCCACCGACCGCAGAAACCACAGCCGGGGCTCCAGACCCCTCCCGAACAACCCCAGCTGCCTCCCCTGACCTCCCTTCCTCTGCCCCATGGAGTGCCTGCCCGAGAGACCCTCGTCTTCCCCCGCGGACTGTGACAG